TCTTAATGAAAGTTCTGTACTTAATATGACCGTTTCAAGCGAACCCAGTCTTGCCATTCTAGAAGTGTTTTATGCTTAGATTTGGGCTTTACAGTATTGTTGTGCGGATTAATTATATGTGAGAAAAAACCTGCACAAGTTTTTGGTAGTGGTCACTCCTAGAGCTATAATACAAAGTGTGAAATAAAGTTCAATCAAGTGTATTATCCTATGTCCTAGACTAGTTAACTTGTATACTCCCTTTTAGCTGATGTCCTCCATTAACGAACTGATAGGATTTCTATCATCCGAGTTGTCCTCCGTTGGAGACATCAGCGACGAATGGGTGTCATCAAGGTTTGTTAATCCTTGAGTATATTTATCTTTGTATGAGCGGTAACTTTTTGGTGATGTAACGCTCACTAGTTGGCAAGTTAATGTTTCAGTGTTGAGGGTAATTATAACGATTTTGCTACGATATCCGCGGTATACAAACCTTCCTTTTATGACGATGATCGAGCCACACTACTTCTTCGACGCTGTGAGTGATATTCACGTTGCTTCACATCCATTATTAAGCCGTCTTTATTCATTTTAGTGTTCAACAACCTTGCAAAGTTTGAAGAAGAATGTGATGACTCTGAAATATGGAATGAAATGACCAAAATTGACATTTCGGGCAAACAACTTTGCGTTCTTCTTTGGTACTCAGTGGAATGGGCGCTTGCAAAGAATAGGTAGATACAAGTAGTACTCTTAATTTAAAATTGTAATATCCTCATGCAGCACATTCGAATTATGCGAAAGAGGAGCTCTGGCAGCTTGTGCTTACCTTTATCTCGCAAGTATTACAGGATCGAAAGCTTACACAATTTTCAATCCTCACCTCTATCAGGTAAATTCTTCCTCCTGGGACTGCCTCATCTACAGCAACTGGTTTTAGAAGTGTCTTCTCGTATTTCGCTCCCTATATCGCTGCCTAACTTACGATTCACTAGGCGCTGCAAAGAGCAAGTCCAAGATTAAGCAGAAGAAGAAACACCGAGAAGAAGACACAGACGAGAATATGGAAGTAGATGGTTGGTTTATAAGAAATCAGTGACGCTTTTGCTACCGATACAATCCCATATCTCTAGTTTTCAAAGCGCTTAGTCACGGATGTTTTTTTATTATCTGTATCTTGCTCTGGTGCTTTTTTATGATTTTCCATTGCAGAAGACACGTTCGTCGTAAAATCATTCGACAAAGAAGGAGTAAAACATTTATTGGAAGAATCTACTGAGACCCTTTTTGTGCTTTTGAACAAAGGTAAGACAACTACTACTTTTCGGACTTACTTCAATGTGCTATTGTAGTGTCTCTCTCCGGCTACTCTGGGATGCCTCATGATACGGCAATGCTAATTCGTGACTTAGCTCGAATTGATGTGTGTGCTGATGCGAAAGTTGAAGTTGTGGAAAATCTACGCGACTTTAGAAATCTTCGTAGATTTGTGGACCGTTCATTTGCGCTTATGCACCGTCTTATCGATGAACGTCACACCATCAATGGCTATATAGTGTGTTGAATTTTCTGTACCATTTCGACTTTTTTTTCAATGTGGTCTGCAGTTCATGTGTTTAAGGTCATTTCTCGCATAATTTATCCAAGACTCGCCTATTGGACATTTGACTGCGCTGTAATTCCTTCTTCATCTACCATACCAGTATTATTTACTGTGTGGAAAGACCTTATGGTCAAGTTTATTAAAGTGAGGGCAAGAATTGGAAATATGGGCGAACTTATGACTTTCTTCAAGGTGGGTTTTGCAATATTTGTAGGAAAAGTTCTTTGCCTTTTTTGGAATTATTTTACCTATTTTTCTTCAATACGGTTAGGAATAGAGTATACAAGCAAAATCGACTGGATGTTGCCAACCTCGCCTTAGTTGCGGTGCCCTCAGAAATCGTTTTGTGGGT